TAAGCTACATGCATGTTATCCGAAGAAATATTAGTGGAACCTCAGCTCATTACGGAAACTTGTAGATGTCTGAACCAATGAGAAAATTTTAAATGTTCGTTATTTATCCGCATGTCATTCAACATTTTTTTGTAGTTCTATATTACTGAGCTTCTCAAAGCTCACTATTTTTCTCACAATTTCAGGTTAAAAGTATAAATTCAATGCAACAATCAACATCAGTAATAGAAGTTCCTTCGACTTTGTTTTTAGAGTATGATACAAGTATAATTAGAGGGTATGTAGGTCATATTTGATTTTTTTATACTAAGTCTGAACTTGTATGATTTTAATTCTGTTTGTAATATATGAATAATTTTTTGAATTTGTATTTTAATTATAAATTATTTTATGATTTTATATATTTTAACAAAAAAATTTAATTTATCTTTAGATTTTTACTGTTGATCATTCTGATGTGATATCTCATATCAGATCGAGTCAGCGTATCGGACGGTGTTACATCAACCAGTCAAGATTCATACCCTCATTCCTATTTGTAAATACTGTTCTTCTTATCCTCCCTCCCCTCTTTTTCTCAAATATTTTTCTCCACTGATATTCCACATCGCTCAGGCCAAAGATCTGTTGAACACCTTCTACTCCAAGTTTGGGTAAAACTAGGATTTTCCCCTTTTCAGACTCCGTTCGAGTTCAGATCAAAGCGAAAATCGTTGCCGAGTTGTGACAACGTAGAATAGAGTTATCCCCCCTTCAAAATTAGGAATTTTTTTCAAGTGTAGGGTTCCAGTATGTCGGTTGTGCGAAGATGGAGCGAGGGAATGTCCTTGGATAATGTTAAGGGTTTGGTTTTAGCTATTTCTTCCAGTTTATTTATCGGGGCAAGTTTCATCGTTAAGAAAAAAAGGCTTGAAAAAAGCCGGTGCTTCTGGCGTCAGGGAAGGTACTGCAATTTATCAAATGTTTACTATTTTTTTGATGATTTGATTTCGGATTTTGTTTTTTCTTCTTTAATTGGAAATTGCTATTAGGTTTAAATAAGTTGCAATGTTGTGGGATTCTGTGAATAATTGTTTACGCAATTTAGAAAACGAATTTGAGTGAAGTGCAAGTGATGAATATTTATTTGACCTTTGAATTTAATTCATCAATGAGGGAATTAATCTATTTGAACTCTTGTCAATCTAGTATGTAAGCTTGTATTTAGTAAACTAGTCTTCATGTTTTTCTTTTTCTTCATAAAACTAATCATTTCTGTCTATAAAATTGCACCGACCTTTTCATTTGCATCCTTTTGATGGTGGGTTTCAGTGTCATCTTTGATTGTATGTATCTTCTAACTTATTGATTATGAATTGTTTACGAAATTCCTCAATTTGTCCAAGTTTCTTTATGCTGAAGTTTTGCATAATGTGTGAAAGAAAGATACAATATGTCTCTATTGAATGAAATTGACGAAAATGATATGTTTTTGATTTTTCAAACTCCAGATTTTCTTTGGTATTGCATGTATGTTTTGTTCTATTGAACAGAGTTTTTTCTATTCATTACAATTCTGTGTTTATTGCATGAAATTTCCTGCTGCATTTGCAATTATATATATATTATAATTTTTGTTTTATCTCGATTATTTAAAGAAATTTTGAATGTATTTGTTATCATTTGGTGATTCTTCACCTTTCTGTTCCTTATGAGGAGTTTTTGTTGTTCTTATGCATGATGAATCACAATGACATTAGTTTTTTCTGGTTCTTACACAGGAGTTGGAGGGTATTCGTACTTGCTTGAGCCACTTTGGTGGGCTGGCATGATAACAAGTGAGTTTTATGGGTTTCTCATTGATAATTAACTCTATTCATGGATTTTTTTCTTCCTATTTGGAACCTATATTGTCTTTTTACTTTTCTCATTTTTAACTTATTTTCCAAATATTATCCCTAAAATCAGATGTTATGAAAGCTATGTTACACCAATTAACAATGTGGTATTCTTGTCAATAATATATTTTGCATCCATGATAAGATTTTCTTAGTTACAATGTTACATTGCATGCTTAGACCTGAATGTTCAGGAAGTTATCAGACTGTAGTCTTTTTAAATACTAGTGAGATGGTCAAGTTTTTTTTATTATGATTCATGATTCTAGAGTAAAATGTAGTTAATTCTAATTTTTAATCAACTTTGCAACAGTAGTCGTCAGGGAAATTGCTAATTTTGCTGCTTATGCATTTGCACCGGCCATACTGGTCACTCCTCTCGGTGCTCTCAGCATCATTATCAGGCATGCGAATTAGTCTCTCAAATTTAGGTTTGGCATTTAAGTGTTTATTGTTAATCATCACTTCTGATGCAGTGCGGTACTTGCACATATCATTTTGCGATAGAGGTTACATACTTTTGGGATTCTCGGTTGTGCTTTGTGTGTTGTGGGCTCAACAACAATTGTATTGCACGCCCCCTGAACGTCTGATTGAATCCATAGCAGAAGTTTGGGTTCTTGCTACAGAGCCAGATTGCTTTTTCTTAAAGATATTGTTGTTAGCTCATATGGTTTTTCTTCTTGAAATTGTTGAACTACAGAATAGGAAATGAATGTATCATATTTGATATTTTTTGTAGGATTTTTGTTTTATGTGGCTCTGGTCATAACAGTTGTCATTATACTTATATTCCACTTTGTTCCACAATATGGACAGACACACATTATGGTTTACATTGGAGTATGCTCTCTCGTGGGTTCTATTTCGGTATACATCAGGACTAGGCTATTGGTTGCTTAATTCTGTGTATGTTCGATTGTATTGCCTCCCCTCAGATTGTTGTTTTTAAGAGTGTTCTTTGACAGGTCATGAGCGTTAAAGCACTCAGTATTGCCTTGTAGTTAACATTTTCAGGAATGAATCAGCTTGTGTATCCGCAGACATGTGTGTTTACTTTAGTTGTGGCTACTTGTGTGATTGCCCAAATGAATTATTTAAACAAGGTAATGGTTACACATGGTCTTTTCTTCTTTTGGTACTCTCTATTTCCTAAAATGTCTATATTTGTGCTTTTCTTTTGATTACTTTTCATGCCCCTCAAAGAAAAGGAGATGAAAGAAATGTTGGAATGAATGAAAAACGATCCAAGAAGAATTTTTTCATTTTACTTCAAAATCTATTTCATTTACCCCTAAAATGTTTCTTGTGATATTTTTGTTTATGGTGTTCATAATCATTAATTTAAACTTTAATCAGTTGAAATTTATCTATTTATTATTTTCTTACTCCGAATCAATATTCCCTTACCTTGAATTTGTGTTGCTGATTTTAGCTAATTTAAGACTTCAGTTTCACAGTCTGATTCCTTTTTTGTTATTGTTATTTTGCCTTCATAATTGCAGGCACTTGATACTTTCAACACAACCGTTGTTTCTTCCACATACTATGTTATGTTTACGTCACTGACCATTTTGGCTAGTGTGATCATGTTTAAGGTAATTTACAGTCATTAATGGCATCAGAATAGCTCAAAAGTTTTAGTAGTTGCAATGTTTAAAAGATCCTACTTGATACTTTCTGCCATCTTGCACACAAATGTTATTGCAATTAATTTGTCTTCAAGATGCAATGAGTTGCTTAATCCAATATGTACTGTGATTGTCTTTTTAAGGGAAAAGGAACCGCGTGTAGAAGTGTGGAATGTTTGGTTAGTCAAGATGTAACTGAAAATTCTAAGTTGCAATCCTCTTGTTTGATTTCATATAGTGGTGTCCTGTTTGTGACTGTTATGATATGAAATCGGACTTCCTTTTGGTTCTGCGCTGGTTTAGATTGCTGCTGATCCCTTTAAAGTACTCCTTTATATGCGTTGTTCTCCATTTTGAAGTTAAAGAATTGAGTATCTTACTTGAGAACTGCTTTCTAGTTCACTTTTTTCTTTAAAACTTGGATTGATCTTGACATTTCCTTATTGAAGTTCGATATTCTGATGTCAGGATTGGGATAGGCAGACACCAACTCAGATTATAACAGAGATGTGTGGATTTGTGACAATCCTCTCAGGGACTTTTCTTCTTCACAAAACCAAGGATATGTTGATGGTATGCTGTCACGTACCTTGAATTGTGAATTCATTCTCTAACATCTCCTTTTAGGCTCATAAAGAATGTTGTAGTCAAGAAACATTTATTGTATTACACTTTTAATAGAGATTATGTTAAACCAGGTCCGAGTTTGTCAACTTCTTTGTCTATGCGATCATTAAAGCATGAAGAAGAGGAGGTGTTAATTGAAGGCATCCCTCATAAGCGGCAGGATTCATTGAGAATACCTTAACTGAAGTTTTAGGCCATCACAAGCTATTCCTACACGGCTCAAATAGCGACTGGGGAGAAACACCTGGAGACCTCGATGATTGTATTTTATTACCAGCTTATACATTTTTTAGAGGGTACTTTGAGGTGGTGAGATGATTTTTCACGGCCTTGTTTCTTTTATTAACATTAACCCTTTGGCTTCAAGATGAGACAATACATTTCAGCTATGTATCAGCAGTTGGTTGGGCGAATAGAACATCTTATCTTGAGTGGAGTGGAACGCTAAGAAAACGATCAAATACATGCTTTACTTATTTATATCAACTTTGCTTTTATATGATCTCCTTTAATGCATTAACCTAACAATATTAGAGCATTGATAAAGTTGGTGCAAATTAGAACCCATGGTTTTAGTTTGTGTCTGCCTCTTGCTTATGTAAATAATCCAAAACTGACATGATATAGGTCAAACCCTAATGAATAACCTGAATTTTGGAAGATTCTAATGTATAGTAAATGACAATACAAATCATTAAATTAAAAGATAGAATTTTTTTTTTACATTTTAATTTAATAAAAAGACATCAACGGAATGGAATATATAAAAATAAAAAGGTATATGGTGTCAAGGGTCAATTTGTAAATTCAGCATTATCGGATATGAGGTCATATGCAGATTATGGGATTGTTTTGCAGCAGCAGCCTAATAAAAGGGATGATCCGGGCCGTCGTCTTTCATGGGAACAGCAGCATCCATGGACGTGCCGGAGGGACTTGCATCGATCGATGGCACATTCATTGCCGATATTCCGGGTAATGGATCAAACACTGGGATCAAACCGGTGACTCTGATGAGCTCGGCTTCAGCCAATTTCAACTACCAAAAAGTTTTCACCAATGTGAGTCGTATTAAGTAGGGATATCAACTGCATGATGCTTACAAAAATCTGTAAAGGTTGCCGTTTGATCATAGTGTTGAACACAGCTAAGTGGTATCAGCACTGAAGCCGAAATTTCAAACATTGCAAGACGGATGCCTAAGCAGCAAGAGACTCAAGTTAAGCCATTTACCTCGGCTTTCAATGCTCTAACATTGGCTTTCAAAACTGTGTTTTCCACGGCTGATTTGTCGTACTTTTGGATTATGGCAGCGACTAGCCCTGCTATGACTGCGTTATCTAGCCTTAGTTGATCAGCCTACATACATCAAAATATGTGATTAGGATTTGTACAGCTAGCTCAAAGCGGACCGAGGGAAAACAGAAGCACCTGAGAGGCGAGTTGGCTGAATTGATCCGTCCATTTTATTCTGGAGCGCCTAGCGGACTCTCGATTCGATTGCTTCCTATACCCACCACATGGATCAATGTTTGAATCATGAAATATGCAACTCAATGTAGATAAAAACGGTTACCTCCTTTTACGTTTTCCTTCTTCAGAATCCATCTTCTCCATTGCTCCGTTTTCTCCTTCACAAGCAAATTCCACAGCTGCATAATCAACAGCGCCTATATATACAGAATATAACCCACAATGAACAACAGCTGCACATTACGAAGTTTCGACGATTTTAAACCTTTACAATTATCTTTGGATTACCGGCTGCCTGCGATCCAACCGCAGGGTCTTGGAGTATTACCAAGGATGCCTGTGATGACCCAACCACAAAGGATGCCAGCTCAACTCCAACCGCAGAGTCTTGGGGTAATCCCTGTGATGCTCCAACCGCAAAGGATGCCTGCTCAATTCCAACCGCGGAGTGTTGGGGTAATCCCTGTGTTGCTCCAACCGCAAAGAATGCCTGCTCAACTCCAACTGCAGAGTCTTGGGATAATCCCTGTGTTGCTCCAACCGCAAAGGATGCCTGCTCAACTCCAACTGCAGAGTCTTGGGGTAATCCCTCAGATCCTCCAACCGCAAAGGATGCCGGCTCAACTTCAACCGCAGAGTCTTGGGGTAATCCCTGTGATCCTCCAACTGCAAAGGATGCCAGCTCAACTCCAACCGCAAAGGATGCCTGCTCAACTCCAACCGCAGAGTCTCGGGGTATTCTCAAGAAAGCCTGCTTGATATGTATATGACATACCAAGTCATACAGAGTGAAAGTAAATCAGAGATCCTTTGTCGGTAAAGATAAAAAGCAACATGAAAGATGTTCACTCTTTTGGCGCTGCTCAAGAGTCAACTTGTTGAATCTCATAATAATAGTAAAAAACGTAGTATGAAAAAGACGTACGCTTGACGTAAAATTGTCAAAAGCAGCAAAAGGCGCCAAGTTCTCAGGAAACGCATCTAAACCCATGGGAACATTATCATTACCATTACCATTACCATTACCATTACCATTACCATTACTATTACCATTAACCACCTCCTTATTCTCCAGATACCAAACTAACCGCTGTAAATCAACTCCGACTCGCTACGCTGCATGGTAAGACCGAGTTCGTCAACGCCTCCTGCGGGGAAGGACCACAATTCGTCGCCTAGAAAGTTGTCCATTGTGTGCGTTGTTGGTTGACCTGATCTGTTTTATCGTTTCTATTTATACATGTATTTGCTTAATCTGATTTTATTTTCTTTCCTCTTTTTTGCTTTTGTCCAAATCTTCTGATTCAAATTTGACTAGATATTATATTCTCTCATTAATTCTTTAGCTTTTTCCTCTCTTTATATTTGGCATGTTCATTGATTTCAACAAAAATCGTTTTCTCACACACCGCCTTTTGATGATATCGAGATAAATCTTTAAGGGAAAGGTAAACTATAAATGGTAATAAAATTAAGATCAATGTTTAATTATTAAATTTATTTATATTATAAGGTAGCTTTGTGCCTTGTTTTTACTACTTTTTCTCTTATCAATCTTTCTATTATTAAAATGTTAAACTCTCATCTATTATTTTACTTTATTTATTACCATCTAATGTAAATCTAATAACCATGTATTATTATTTGTGAGCATAATTTATATAATTTACAAGTGAATCTTGCATTTATTATAATGATGAATAATATATTAAAAAAAACAAAAGATAAAATAATAAAGATTTGAGTTAATTACATCGTACGTACTCAAACTATGACTCTCATTTTATATTGGTCCCTAAACTTTTAAACATTTTAATTTCATCCTTAAACTATAACTATCATTCTAAATTAGTCATTAAACTTTTGAACATTCTATTTTAATCCCAAACAATGAATCTCATTCTAAATTGGTCCATGAACTTTTAGATCTTTCAATTTCATCCAAATATGTAATCCGTTTCAACCATAATTTAATCTAAGCTTTATATTTTTCAAACATATAATAATATATAACTTGGTCTAATGATTTTATTAACAATAGATGTGATTAATATATGAGTATAACTTAGGATAAAATTAAAATATTCAAAAAGTTTGGGGATTAATTTAGAATGAAGATCACAGTTTGAGGATGAAAAATAAAATATTCAAAAGTTTGAGGATGAAAACAAAATGTTCAGAAGTTTGAGGATTAATTTAGAATGATAGTCATAGTTTAAAGATGAAATTAAAATATTTAAAAGTTTAAGGACCAATTTAAAATAAGGGTCATAAAATTAACTCTAAGGGTGTGTTTGGTTGGGGGAATGCGAGATTCCCATGGGAATAAAATCCACATTCCCCCGTTTGGTTGGCTGGGAATGTCATTCCCGGTAATCTTACATTACTAATAGTGAATTTTTGGGGGTATATTACCGGGAATGTCATTACCTCCATTTCCTTAGGTATTATTGGATTATCGGCATTTTAGACTAAAATGTTCTTAATTTTTTTTCTTTCAAAAATATTCTTATTCTGTCATTGAATAATAAAAATTCTACGAATGTTAAATTACAAATTTATCCTTAAACTATTTTAGATTTACAAAAAAAATTCTATAATTAAAATTGTTCAGGGGTTAAAATAAAATTTTACCCTTTCATTAAACCTTTTTATATTTTCAATTTTGTAAAAATAATTATATAAATTTTATGAATTTAATTTTTTTAAAAATATATAAATATTTTCCAACTTGTTAAAAAAACAAATATATAATAAGGACAATTTGATCAAATATACATTCTAATAATATTTTATTCTTTTAACCAAATACGGTAATCTTACATTTATGCTAAACCAATCAAATACAAAATACAACATTCCCAGTAATCCTATTCACTGTTTTTATTCTCACTGGTAATTTTATATTTCGTGAACCAAACGCACCCTAAAGATTTAGTTACGATTATATATTTAGCATGGAAATGGTACGAGGATTTTACTTGCGATAGTTGTTACGAGTCAGCCGTGTGACATTAGCAATCTCACCTGATATGACTTTTGTCCTAATTTATATCTTACTAAAAGTACAAAGATTTTTGTCATATGTTGATTGCAAAAACCAAGATGATCCCATTGTCTAGCAGAACTCGGTAGTTTAATTAACTGTTGTTGTGTTATAAATTGTATGGTAAATTACACAAAGGTTCCTTGACTATAGGATAATATTTTATTGAATTCTTTGACTATTAAAAGTTATAAAATGATCCTCCAATTATAGGAAGTTGCTATGTTGAGTCTCTCGACTATTAAAAGTTATAAAATGGTCATTCGACTATTAATTATGTTCCAAACTCGTCATTTTTCATTAAAATTTTAAAGGTAATCTGAGTTGTACGTTAACTTGCTGACTAAGATATAATAAAATATGTTCTCATAATCTCAAATAACTATCGTATCTCACTCAACATATTAATGTCCAACTCATACTACCATTAAATTTTTAATAAAAAATGATGAGTTTGGAACATAATAAATAGTCGAGTGATCATTTTGTAATTGTTAATAGTCGATGGATCATTTTATAACTTTTAATATTCAAGGGACTCAATAAAACATTATCTTATAATCAGAGAACCATTTATGTACTTACCCTAAATTTATCGTGTTTAAAAACACGATTATCTTTAATGTAATTTATCTTAAATTTTGAATAATTACAATAATAAATATGATTTCGATTATAATCAATAGAAACACAAATAAAATTGTATTACAAAAAATAATTTACTCATAAAATACTAATGATAATAAGGTGAATATAATGATCTTTAACCAAATAATATTACTTATTTAATATAATTCACTTATGATGAAACTCAAACCTAAAAACAAATGTTAATTTTCAGCTCCAGTGCTTCACCCTAATGGTGTACAAGTAATCGTCATCTTCTTCCTTGTAAGAGTGACCATAGCATTAATCCTGGATGTAGTAAAACCCCTCCACCCTGGACCACTGACGGTGAGGTAGCCGCCACCTTCACTATTGCATCTAAAGTTCCACGATCCTCCCTTTTCATCTCTTGCCCGCAGAACACTCGAACCACCGGGGAGTTCGTCGCCGTTACGATGGAATCTCAACTTTGAATATCTCAGCCATTTCTGATTTGCCCCACCGTGCCTCTAGCTTTTAGGGTTTATAAAGACTATAGAGAGCAGAACCAGCTTTTCTTACTGGATAAAATGAAGAAGAAGAAGAAGAAGAAAAAAACATGAAATCTGATATATCGCGAGCATAGGCTTAAATCTGTCGACAAACTTCAAAGTCGAATGTTTTTACATAACCTTTGAGGGATAGGTGTTTTCTTAGTCGCCTTTTTTAGGTATCGCAAGATGATTAACTTGGAGTGCAATCTCAACCTCAGCGTCTTCACGCATATCTGGTTTACAAATGCATGCGTGAAAAACTACGTCAAACTTGGTGACGTCATCAGATATGGTATAAGACAACATTTTGACTAGGTTTTTCACTTCAATTTTTATTGTTTCAAAAGATTATAATATAATCATAAACACTTAATTAGCCGACTCAACTAGATTGCTTAGGATCGTAAGCTTCATTTTGTAAGCGAGATGTCGATCGATTTTCTTTCGAAACGTGATGGTTGGCTAGCATGTAATCGAGTTTGTTTTGTTTTTCAGAAAATTACTATCGATCTGCTTCTTCATGTTACCACTTGTTGTCATTTGGCTATAGTTTATATTTATTAATTGGATTATCATGTCTCGTTTAGATTGCGCGAGGTTGCTTTGGATTTAAACATTCTAACGTATTGAAAATATGTATAATAACTCGAAAATAAAAATTACACACTAATTAAAAAGTAGTAAAAAATTAAAAAGAAACATTTCCTTAAAGAACATATGCATATCAACTTCTTACTATATCAGCACACCATAGACAACGCAATTAATTTATCTAGAGATTTTAATTTTGTAACTAATGAATTTTAGCGCACATTAATGGTGTAGACGTCGTCACCGGCTTCGACCAAAAGGGTGACGATATCGTCGATATTGTATGAATTAAAGAAATTTCTCCAGCTAGAGCCGCTGACGGTGAACCTGCCTCCACCTTCAGTACTCCTGCAGTTGAACTTCCAAGACCCGCCATATCCATTTCTAACCCTCAGCACACAGGGGAGAGTGTCGTCGCCGTGGTGAAACCTGAACCTTGATCCATAGTCACCTCTCAGAGTGATCGAGAAGATCTCTGCCATTTTATCTGTCTTGTGAGTTGTGAGTGTTTTGTAAACACCTGTAAATTTTCTCTCTTTAGTAAAAGATCTGCAGCAGTCTGGAGACGTAGGCATAATTGGCTAAACTTAGTTATCAATTTCGGGTATTAGTTTTCGCTTTTATTTTCGCATTCTAGCTAATCTAGTTATAGGAAAATTACTCGTTTAGTTTCCCAACAACTAGTATCAAGAGCTTTTGGTGGTGAATTTTGTCAATTTTTCTGCGAGATTACTATTCATGTGAATAGTAAAATTTGGTCGTCGACACGAGTTTGTCGACAGAGGTGTTCTAATACACGGTGGTTCGCAGGAATTGTCAGAAACAATCCAAAAGAATCCAGATTTGAGTGGGAGTGATGGCTGCAGATGAAGGGAATGTGAAAATTGAGATTTTTGATGGTGTAGATTTTGGCTTTTGGAAGATGCAGATTGAAGATTTTCTGTACCAGAAAAATCTATATCAACATCTCTCAGGAAAGCAACTAGAGGGCATGAAGAATGAAGACTGGGCTTTTCTCGACAGATAAGCCCTCGGAATTATCCGACTGACATTATCCCGCAATGTTACTTTCAATATAGCAAAGGAAAAGACCACAGCGGGTCTTATGGCAGCTCTCTCCAGTATGTATGAGAAGCCATCGGCCTCAAACAAAGTTTACTTGATGAGGCGATTATTCAATTTACGGATGACAGAAGAGGCATCAGTGGCTCAACACCTAAATGAACTCAACACAATCAAAACCCAGTTGAGTTCCATGGAAATTGAATTCGATGATGAAGTCTGAGCTTTAATTCTCTTATCATCTCTACCAAATAGTTGGAATACTACTGTTACAGTAGTCAACAGCTCGTCAGGAAATAGTAAATTGAAATTCGACGATGTTCGGGATCTGGTATTGAGTGAAAAAATTCGAC